TGCTCTGTTCCCTGAAGTGGTTGTTTTCAAGTTATCAGCTACCTTTTACCTTTAGTTCAGTAGAGATGGGTAATTCCAGGGCTGTAATTATCCAAATTATTCTAATGAAGGGGTGTGAAGTTTAAAAACACTTTGGAGTATTTCCTGTATTACCACAGGGCATCACTGTTTGAGAGAAGAACTCAAATATAAACTAAATATACAGGGTTTGTGTGTTAAACATGTGTGAATGATTTATTAAAACACCTCTAAAATGCTGTTCTTCTTATCTTGGGAAATGGCTCTGTCCACATTTTGTCTTACTTTATATTCCAGTCATGTTTATTTACAAGGTTGCCAGATAAGAGTTTGGGGTTGCCAGGTTACCTTTGTGCCTTCTGCAGATTAGACATTGGTCTAATTGTATGAACTGACTGCTAAATGTCACCTGGAACACAAAACACAACTTTAATTAACCCACAGTAGCTGATAAGACCATGTTCAGACCACTGCAAATCAAATGTTGTAAATGAGTCAAATTTGGCAATGTCTAGTGTCCATTAGACATTAACTGTTTGGTGGTGCATGTTAGGGGTGGGCAATTTCACAATACTATGTATATTCGTTTTAATAGGATTGCTATATGTACATATGGCACCTACCCGGCACATACCTACCCAGAGAGAAGTTGAGATAATGATAATATGTGAAAAATCCCTCAGTCATCCAGGCAGAATCCATTGCAAAAGGAGAAATTCAATTTGTCAACTGGACAAAGGTTTATTTGGTTGAATACTTTTTGCAGCTCATCCAAGCTGCTTCTTCAGTTCTGGTCGAAATGCTGGTGGATACTTCCTTCCTAGCTGTTAACATGAAAACTACCTTTTCATGACATCACAAGGTGGATTACTCAAACACAACTCCGGGTATGTTTCTGATAACATATTATAATTATGGCAAAAGCTCCTTCAAGCTGCTTCTTCAGTTCTGGTCGAAATGTTGGTGGATACTGCCTTATATCTGCCTGAGGGGAAAAGCTAACTAGTGCAGTTCAACAGGCCTAACTAACAGAAACTGTAAACAAGTAGGTGTGTTAGTTTCAGAGTAGTTTCATTGTAGTTAGCTCCTCCCTTGGATGAGCTGTGAAACTTTTGCCATAATTATAATATGTTATCAAAAACATACCCAGAGTTGTGTTTGAGTAATCCACCTTGTGATGTCATGAAGAGGTAATTTTCATGTTAACAGTGACTTTTTACCTTTAGTTCAACAGAGATTGGCAATTCCAGGGTTAAAATGATCCAAATGGCACTAGTGAAGGTGTGTGGAATTTAAAAATACAGTAGAGCACTTCCTATATAATCATATGATATCACAAGGTGGACCAGAGTATTTTCTGTTTGAATGTGTGAATGAAACAAAACATAACACCTGGTGTATTTGTGATGAGGAAAAACATTATAACAGATCAGAAAACAGTGTAACATTGGCCCTTTAAAAGCTGCTCTACAGACTGAATGAATTGTGACATAGGTTCTATAAAAATGTCATATGATTTTTATTTTATATTCTACCACTTTACTAACTTAACCTTTTGTGCAGATGGGCCATGACTTAATGCTCCTGTGGCATCAAAACACTTGACTCAGCCAGTTCTCACATTTGAAGAGCCGTGATACGAAAACCTTGTGCAGTTTAGATGTTGAAATCATGACCTTGTTTCCACTGCCTCATGTTAATGTCATCATGGAGGTAATGTAATCCAGTTATCACTATACAGTTTCAGGAGTGGACTAATAGCTTCTTGTAAATACGTTTAGTTACACGATGAGATCATTACAGTGTGCAAGAGACGTGAAAAATAATGCTAAAATCCTCAAGGGGGAAAGGCAAGCCATTATCATTGATCAAGTGTCATCTAGTGTTTTTTTTTCTCTGAATTCTTATTGATTTATTTGGCAAACAAAATCCTCCTCTCCTCTCTGTTCTACAAGGACAGTCCTGCTGTGTCCTGGTCCCTCATCCCTCTGTATCTATTTGGATTTGCTGTTGTCTGAACTACGCAGAAGCCAGTGGGAAATAAATTTGAAGCAGCGATTCACTTTGAAAATCCTCTCAGACTAATATTAACAATTCATCTTAAAGTGGAGTGGGATTCGTGTCGCTTCTCCATCTGTCCTTAGAACGCGCCGTCAAGAAATACATTGACTCCATAGAGAGTACATAATGAATCTTGGTTGGCAGTAAATATGCACATTGATTCTGGCAAAAGTAATAACATAGATGGGCATTGCAATTTAAGACAGTTTGCACCGTATGCACCGCATAACACGTTGACAGATTTTGTTTTCATATAGGATATTTATACCCAGGGGAGAGGTAAAAATGCATTTTAGCAGCAAAAATCGGGGTAGCAAATGTGGTATGCAAATAAAAAAATGTGAATTGAATTTAAACGTTCAAGTAACAGAATTTTGTATTTGTATTGTTGAAATAGTTTTCCAGGAATGGTCCATAGCAAAAAGAAATATCAAAAGTATTCACTCTGAAACTTTCGTCCAGTAGACAGTTTTGACTTTTTGTTCCCCTTGGAGATGAGGTTGCTCTGCCTGAAAAGTCTCAATATGGCATTAAGCATTATGGCATTATTATCTATCTTGTATACACTCAATTACACATGCTTTTATTGCGCAAATGTAGAAAAATTCATTCTTACTGTGAGTGTGCTCATCTTGCATCAATCTGAACTGTAACTTAACCGTAATATGAAACAATTCAGGCAAAAATTGTACAGCTCAACAGAAAAAAGCACTTAGCAGACCCATCCGAGAAAAGTTACATAGCACACCTTTACATTAATAACCAAGATCAGCATAAAAATGTCCATGCTTTCAAATAATTTATGCTAACGACGATGCTGTCTTTACTCATCCATTCCCCTCAGTCACCTGTCCCCGCCTCCAGTTGACCCTGACTTCCTGTTTTAACGCTTTATTAGCACTCCATTACATCAGAGCGGGCCAGACTCTAATCAGTGAAGGCGGAGCTAATGCAGGGTTAAATCAATCTAATTATGTTAATAGTTCAATGGAGTCCCTGCAGTCACAGCCCATCACCTCAGTGCACTGGGACTTGGACTTGCATTTAAACGCGTCAAAGTCCAGCGGTCCTGATAAAAATAAAAGCGTAGTTCAGACTCAAAGTGCAGATAAGAGGAGTGCCAATAAGCCAACCTACGCAGTTGTGACAGGGGTTATAGCAGGACAATGAAGTCACTGCGGAGGTGTTGGGTAAGAGCGAGGGGTGGTACTGGTAATTTGCATATTTAATAGTCTAATGCTTTTACAGTGTACATTATGATTTAAATTCATGTTCGTATTATGTCTAGACCATTGGTTTCACATGCAACTGTACATTGTTCATGTGTCATTATGTCTTATTAATCACATATTAAGACGAGATGGTTTGTGTAGTGAACCATGGCTCTTGACTTCAGGTGTATGCATTTATTCAGCCTCTATGTCTGTAAGAGCATAATTAAGCCTCTTTGTAAGTTTAAGAGCTGCGACACACCACTGGCTCACATTATTAATCCAGGTCACGCATCACCGTGAAATATGAAACTGTAAGGTGCAAACCTGAGCAAGATGAGGTAGACAGCTTGTATAAATAGGTCAATCAGGAACTCAGAGGGAAAGATTATGGTTAAGGTTGCTCTGCGTAACTTTTCTGGTGGGGGAGTCTGCCCTGCTTGTCTTCATGAAGATGTTATTGCTTTGCCTGAAATATTACGGCATTGATTAACATCTACTATTATTTAATTTAAGGGTTTGTTGCTCAGAAATACAGCAAAAGAAAAAAATAGCAAAAGAAAAAACTTTTCAATTATGGTAGGCATAGTATAAATATTAATTTCTTGAAGATAAATAGTACAACCTCAATCAAAATAGTCAAATTTGTTCCAAGCCTAAACTCCAAACTGTTACTGGCAGAGGCTTGGCGGTGGACCTCTTAATGAAAAATACCTAGGAAAACTATTAGAAATGACTGAATTTTGATAAAAATTTACTTAATTTCACAGCCCCAGTGAATGTGAACCATTTAAATTTTGACATTTACCTTTGCTTTTCAAATACTCTGCAGTTAATTTAATGCAATGTTTCAGTGTCCAAAAGTTTGATCATGATAAACCTACAAAGACCTTCTGCAATGATCTCTATCAACTCACAAGAAGCGCCCACATAGTACATTAGTGTAAATTGGAAACAATAATTAAATTCCATTTGCGTTTGTTTGTGCAATTATTTATTTATAATTTATTGTTATATAAATTGCAGGCTAATTAAATAACCTTAATCAAACAAACCATAGCACATGTAATTATGTAAATGAAAGGCTGACTTGGTTAAATATATTATTTCATTTCAGCTTTTTCTTCTTTCTTTTATGTTGATTCAGTTAAACTCATTGCCTCTGTGTAAGGCCAAAATTACTACAATTACACTGCATAGCTTTACAAAACCGTTGATTTAACCGATAGAAAGAAATGAAACGATTCAAAGCAAATAATTTAGATCACATAATGATTTATGTGTTCTTTTAGCAATTGATTTAAAGAGCCCATATGACACTATTTTCTGATCTGTTATAATGTTGTTTTCTCACATGTTTAACACACAAACCCTGCATGTGGTAATACAGGAGTGCTCCACTGTGTTTTTAAAGTGGAACAGAGCATTTTGAGCTTTGGAGATATAGACATAGTAATAATAAGGGATTGCTCAAACATGTATGAATTAAACAAAACACAGCTCCAGGTATGTTTTTGATGTGGTAACAGCATTATAACATGGCTGGTTTGCGTAATATGGGGCCTTTAAATGGGGTAATACATATTTGAATAAGTGAAAATAGTGTGCAAACATTTGACTTTCAATGATCCCCTGCAGTATTCCTCTTAAGTTGTTTGTGTTAAAGCATATGCAAAGTTCATTTACACAGACCCGAGGCAGATAAGGATATTGACTTGGAAACTCATATCCTGTTTTATTGTTCAAATCTGGCAACAAGGTACAGCACAGTAGAAACAGCACACCTGGTTGTCAGGGAGATACATACAGTACACAGGCCAATGGAAAAACAAACATATTAAGAGACGCACACACCACACGCAGACCCAAGTCCACATTCACACAACACAACAACACAGCAGGAAGTGTGTCTTAAAGGGGATTTAGAGGAGATTAAGGATCTGGTGACGATAGAAAAAGATCAAAACATAAAAAAGTCCATCTTAAGACAGAATTATTGGCTTTGATTTGACAAGTGACGTCTTTTGTCGCAAGTGGGTTTTGCCAAAATGTGGGAGTGCATTTTCAGTTTCGCACTTGTAAATACTGTTGGAAAGTAATCTCAAATGGTTGAAATCAGTGCAAGACACAGCCACATTATTATTCTAAAGCTCAGAGAAGTAAAGGAAGTAAGGTCGGTTCTGTCTTAAGATGGATTTGTAACTTTTTCAACAAACTTAAGAATTTTATTTTGTTTTTATAAAAGTTGGGACATCATGGAAAATGTACAATGAAACAGAAGGTGATGGTTTGCATAAAACATTTTTAAAAAGAAAATATGAATCACAAGAAACAATTTCAAATTATTTAAATATCTATATAATTTTGATATAAAAATACTGCGCTGCTTTTGAATTAAAGAAGTAATATGTCTTAAACAGCTTGAGAGGAGACAAGACATTTCACTAATGGAACTCAAAAGTGACTGCATGCTCTGCTTTAGGAAGTGTGTTTTCCATTAATTTTTCCCACAGACTTAAAAAAAAAAGAAAGAAAAAGAGTTCAAAAGCATCACAGAGGCTAACCAGCTATGTGCTAACCCGCTACCTGCTAACCAATATCCATATAGCGGTAGTTTTAAGTCCAAAAAGCACATTTTAAGGCAAGATTCGACAAAATGTTTTAATAACTTAACAGTTTGTAATGTTTCAGAAACAGATTTTAAATAATAATAATAATAATGATAATAATAATAATAATAAATAAATATTTAGTTCATATCATATAGCTGATACTTGAGCAAGCTTGCAAAGAATTAATATTATTATTTTTGGGGGGGAAAGTCTATGGGAAAAAAGATGGTCACTGTTGAACTCCATAATTCAGCTAAAGACAATTTAATTTAATTAAGCGCTTTTGGCTACAGATACGGTTTATTGTGAACTGTTTTGCAAACCCCATTGTATTCTGTTTATATTTACATTCTACTGTGTTCCAACTGTTAAATATGAAATAATCATTTGAAACTTTGGCAATCATGACTTATATGATTATAGCGTCTCACCACTCACACAATCAAATACAATGACTGAGCTTTTTAACAAACAGACATGACTTGAATATTCTCATATGAAGCACTTCTTGGAAAAGCAAAACAAAATCCTCTATTTTTTAGTGACGAAGTGAAGGCCACTTTGATCAGAGGTGATTCAACAACAGCATCTAGAATTACCTGCTTTGAAAAAAACGTTGAAATAAAAGGACAGTTATAAAACCAAAGATAATTGTGCTTTTCTCCCTAAATATATATTAAAAAAAAAAAAAAACCTTCACATTTGATATCAGTAAAATCCATTGTGAGTTAAAACATGCTTATATGAGTCAGCTTTCGGTGTCTTCAGTGGATTTAAAGCATTGGCGTTTCACTTGGCAGCACGCAGAGGCCAGAGACATAATGAGGAGGAGGACACGCTCGATGGAAGACCCTGAAAAATGAAGCACTGGCAGCTATTGTCTGGATTAACCTCAGTCACATTAGCATCCCCACATGAATAACTGTCTATCTGTACTTGGCATTCGCTGCAGATGTAGAAAACACTCTCGTCTGATCTACAATACTTAACTTTGAAAATTAATGGTACAATATGTAATTTTTTTGGTGGAGGGCATAGAGTGTATGAAGAAGTGGACTAAGGGAGTGTGATGTTATCCAAAGTGTTCGGCTCCAGTCAAATGAAGCTCAAGAGGCTAGAAGTTATGGGGTGAATTTGGAGCCGAGTTCCATATTAGGAATTGGAATTTATTTACGGACAAAATAGGGAAGCACACCCAAGAACACTTCCTATTTGGAACGAGAGTTAGCTATGTCCATTTATACATACAGTCTATGGTGAACTATTGTTATTGCTTTGCTTGGAATGCTCCACAGCATGGCATTAAAATGTATATATCCATGGAGAAAAGCAGACCTAGCCACTACTTAACAAAATTACAGGCTCCTCTGTGGAGAGGTGACACCCCTCTCGCTATAATCTTTTTCATTTCATATCTTAGCATTAAAATAAAATTTAATGAATACCAGAGTTTAATATCATACTGTGGAAAATCCCATGCAAAGCAATCCCATTTCAAGCAGGTGACAGACCACCCCGCCATCAGAAAAGTTGCATAATGCACCTTTAACTTAATACTAACAAATTTAATGCATTCAACTTAATCTCTTATTCAAATAGCTATCATAAAGAAAATTTCATCCTGAAAGTAAAGCTTGTTGGATTTGGCAACACGGAAAGACCTTCTTGGCAGCTCATAGTGTTTTGAGTACTCTTGCTAATTTAGTGTCTACCGCCTCCTTGACTTTACGGAAATAGTAAGTGTTATTTTTATAGATAAATGGCCATGTCGTGATTGTCGTGATTAATGCTGTTGGAGAGGAAAAGCAAAATTACAAGCAATGTCTAGTTGAAATCATCTATTGTATGCTTAGGTCATCAAAAATCAAACAGCTGTAGCTAATAAAACATAAATAAGCCAGCATAGGCCCGCTCAGGGGAATCACAGTCATAGTTACTTATTCTTTTCAATTCCTCTTCTAAAATAAACCACACATACATCTTGAAAACATATTAAGAAGGTCTTAGAAAGTTTGAACAGCTGTAGTTTTTTTCTAAAAGGGCAGTTTGTGAGAGGCAGGTCACAGTGAACCCTCAGGGGGGTGTCTATATCTAGGAGTGCTTAGTGATGTGCACAAACAAACGTGCACCAGAACTGAGGGAGACATCTTGTTGGAGATGTTAGTGTCAACAAGTCACCTAGCATTGATTTCAAGCTACACTGTGTTTACCAGCGCTGTTTAGAGCTAGTAGTAGCATCATAGATTAGCCATTGTGAAGTGGCTATTGCTAGGTTAGCTTTTAGTCAGATTGAGGGCACATAACTGGTCCAGGCTAGTACCCAGGGCTCTGTTGCCATATCTCCAGCTCACGACGTCTCCAAGAGACTGCTTGGTCAGTTTTAGTTCCTCGGTTCAGTGAAGTCACTTCCTGTGGTCGGAGGTGGAGTTAGCTGTAGTGTCTGTTTTTGTATTCTCGCCGTTTCCTGGAGGCTGCGTTGCCGTGACATTAGGACCGCCCCCGTTCTGAAGTGTTTCCTGTTTGTACTGTTGCAACGCCCGATTGATGGCATCCTCGACCAATCGTTTACTGACCCTCAGAAGCTCCGCCTCGTCTGGCTCAGAGCGACGCCCACCTGAAAAACATTTAGGATGCACTTTAGTAAAACGCAAAATGGAACAAACAAGACATGACTGTTTGTATCTTGACAAGCAGTTTATATAAAAAAAAAAACTGAGGATAAAGAATACTTGGCATGAAAGTTTTTTATGAAAAGGTCAAATTTAAAATGGCAATACCAGAAGTGTCCGCTAGAAAACAATAGCTACAAACAAGAAGAAAAAAAAATCACCTGATATAATACATTCTTGATCTAGGCTTCATAATGACTGAAACATTGGCAAAACCTTAACCCAGAAATAGAGCTAGGTCTACAACCCAGTATCCAGGCCCTGGCGAAAAGACATCTCCTAAGAGTCATCTAACCTGCCACGCCCTTCAGTGCAATTTCTTCTGCTGGGGTCTGAGCACCTTAAGATAAATCATTCAGTGAAGCTACCACAACTTTTTTCTCTTTGTGTCTATCTGAGTCTCCCCAGGTCGAAATGGGATTATGACTGTAAATAATGTTACTTTAACCTTTGCGTACATTTACAATTAATCTCCCGCTTGCTTGTACGATTAGTCAAACAATGCTGTCAACACCGCAGCTGGTTATAGTTACACTGCAAACAAAATGGCAGAGATCAAACCAAAAGAGAAGCAAAAGGATAAAGCTGTATGGTGCAGGTGCTTAATAATTCAGCTTGAAACATGGGAGGCAGGCAGAGGGCAGGCACTGAAATGTGCAGAGCAGTAATGGAGGATCAGCAAAGCATTTCTGTCTGTGTGCGCATGTGTATTTATCACATTGCGGGGACAAAATCTGCACACCTTCTCACGTCACATCATAGAGACCTGCCTGCTTTATGGGGTCCCCGTGATTTAAGCCTTTTATTATTAGATCAACAACATGATTTAAAGTTTAGGTTAAAGCTAAGCCAGTAGTGACTATGGTTAAGGTTCAGTCTCAAGAAAATTAATAGAAGTCAATGTAATGCCCCCAAGAAGCATGAAAACCCAACGTGTGTGTGTGCTCATGAGTGTACGTGCATGTGCAGGGGTGTGTGTGTGTGTGTATAGAGGCGGTGACTACAGCACATCAGAAGCACACTGCAGTCACCTTATGTTTGATCAGGCTATGCATTAAAAACCCACTGATCATCTCTCGCGCCACAGGCAACCAACAACAACATCATTTAGTTTTGTTGAACACTTTTGTTTGGTTTGTCAAATGGAGGAGCAAAGGAGGTTATGAAATCCTCTCTCCATTTTGTATCATCTGTAATTTGTCACTGCCTTAGGTAAACTAAAACTATACAGGCCACAGTTAAGTTCAGGGACAACAGGAACCAAACCAAGTGGAGAGCAACATAAAGATTCAAGCTAGAAAAACAATAAAAATGGTAAACTATATTACAAAAAGAAAATTAGAATGACTATCTCTTTGACCCAGCAAGGTTAATTTGGTCTTCCAATATTTTATTAAATATTTTTTGAGACCAGTTTTTTTGTTTGTTTTCATACCTGACAGTTTCGATTGTTCACTAGCCTTTATCACTATTCCAACCTAGGAAAAATTACACAACTGACTATTCCTTCACCTAGGTAGTCCTGACCAAGCTCAAGATCTGTAGTTGGTCCCCTGGTACTGCACTGCGATGCTCACTGCTTCCACAGTTTTAAAGAATGGGCGAAATGCACACGATTGCACCACACTATACATATTCAATCACACCACAGAAACCTGCATCACTTTTCAGACTCCAGTCTCACTACATCCCTATTCAGTATTGTCACCATATGGATTCATGATGTGCAAATGATTCTCACAGCGGTCTGACTGTCACCACACGCTGTCAACATAGTAACGCCTCATCCGAGTTTTGTCCTGCAGGTGTTTTGGCTGCTCAAACGTGGCGGTGGAATTACATTAAAAACAATGAGATACTACGCAGGACACGCCACCACTGACAGCTATTGTTGACATTCTGCACCCACAGGATTCAGGCTGTTTATGCCAAATATTCAGCAGGAAGTGTCCGAGCTGCAGCGGTCCTATGATTATGAAAACTATGTCCTTCAACTCAGGCAATACATTATGATCACTGACAGGAAAAGGCAAAACCAAACTCATTATTATGGCTCCTGTTGGTGGATGGGATAAATTACACAGCAGGCAAAAACGATGGTCTCTGTTAGACAAGAATAATATCAATGTCTTAGATGCATACTGTCTGAAAATATTTTCAAAGTGGTGCTAGAGTCTGCTATTATTCATTCACTACCCACACTCAGTCGTGGCAAGAAGGGCTGGATAATAAAAACTGAATTGTGATCTCATGGTTGAAAGACATTTCCCCACCCACACCACCGATTGGTCAGCCTCCGTAATGCCCTGAGTTAGTCACATGTGGATTTAACCTACTGCAGTGGAGTTTCAGAAGAAGCATGTCACTTTAGTTACCTCTTCAAGGCAATATAAAAGGTACTAAGTTGAGATTGAAATTGTGATCTGGCTCCAAGAAAATCATTAATTTTTGAAACATTAACTTTTTGTCCATAATACCCACCCTTAGTAGAAAATAAGTCTTGTGGCCACAGCTGCCCTGCCAATGAACTCCCCTACCACCACTGATCACTTAAACACATATCACTCAAATAACGTGGGTGCAGTGTCCTTGAGGAGGCTGTAGCACTGGTCAAAGATGGGATTAAATCTTGAATCTTCCAGTTATACGACCATTATAGACAGAACATAATGGGCAACCAAAAGTATTTGGGTGAGTTTATGAAGGGTTAAACTTAGATGCGAGATGACAAAATCAGAACAGGGTGTTCCCAGTCTGAAGTGGTCGATATCTGTCAAAACTGCTCCAATAAAAAAAAAAAAAAGTGTTGTCGTGGTGACACACATCCCTGCTGTGTGTGGCTGACGCTCTGATAGCAGACTTGATTAGCTGTGGCCTGCCTGTCATTTTGACTGACTCGCACCTCTGACTGCTCTTTGATAAGGTCCTTTCCCCCTCGGGATGGCAGCTCACTGGATGTGGAAGCTAAACGTCAGTCCTGGTTAAATGTGAGCTCTCCTTTAAATCCTTGTGGTGTTTATGACTTTATCTGGAGAGACATGGACTCCAGTGGTCAGTGCAATAACTGCCTCTGTTATGACAGCTCACAATAAATGGGAGTGGCTGCTGGCATGACAACTGTAAATGTTATTACACAAGGAGCCTGCAGTTTATCCAATGATTCATTGTGGATTATAGTTTATGTCAGGTTCCAATGCAATCCAGATCTTTGAAGTAGTGATAATGGGCAAATCAATACCAAATACCTATATATTGATACTGAATGAGGTATCAGAAAGTATTGACTGTCATGCAAAAAATATCATGCACTACTACAATTTATTTAATTTCCAGATCAGTTTAAGATGAGGTAGAGTGAAGATAATAATAGCCTCTAGAGGCCAAGGTCTAATTCTTTATAGTAGAGGAGTTTCAATGCATTTTAATACAAAAGAGCATTAGCATTAGTGTGGGACTGACATCAAGCTACTTGCCTACACTAAACATAAAGCTAGATAGTCCTCGAAAAAACCTGACCTTTGGGTGATCAAAAGAAGTTATTTTCACCATATGTTGTTTAAAGAAGAATGATGACACTGTCAAAGTAATGACTGCGGTTACAGGGCAAGATAAAACTGTGTACAATCTAACACAACACAGTCTTTAATGGATTCATTTCAGTTGTTGTTAGCTGTGTTGTTTCTCTTGTGACAGAAGAAAACAAACTAAATCAAAGCCACAAATCTATTATAAAGAGGTTTAATATGCATCAGACTATGCTTCAGAATATGCTGCTTTAAGGGCCCATATTATACTATTTTTTGATCTACTGTATGTTATAATGTTATTTTCTCATCAAAAACATATTTGGAGTTGTGTTTTGTTTCATTCACACATGTTTAACACACAAACCCTGCATATTTAGGCTGTGTTCTGCCCTCAAACAGAAAACACTCTCTTCCACATATTGATGTCATGTGGTAATACAACAAGTGCTCCACTGTGTTTTTAAACTCCATACACCTTCACTAGGATCATTTGGGTGATTTCAGCCCTGGAATTGCCAATCTCTACTGAACAAAAGGTAAAAGGTAGCTGATAACTCGAAAACAACCGCTTCATGACATCACAAGGTGCAACAGAACATTCTGAGCTTCGGAGATCTAGACAGTCATAATAAAGGATTACTTAAACGTATGAACGAAACAAAACACAACGCCAGGTTTGTTTTGGACGAGGTAACAACATTATAACATGGCTTAAAGCTTACAAAAGGGACCTTGAATCTTTAAATCCTATAATTACAGTTTGAGAGATAGTTACTGCTTTTTATGGACTATATACTTCTACACACACTGCAGCTAGGTAAGACATGAGCTTGCCACTGGGACACCATAGGAAAACATGTGGACATTGATCATGGTTGTTATGGTGAACACTGATTACTATAGTGACCAAGGGTTGCAAACACAGGGCAATAAAAACAGACAGGCAGGCAGTAAATGGATAGAGGATAATAACTTCCTGTAATTAACCAGGCAGATTGGATCATTTTGGATAATGGCATATGCTAGCTGAGAGAACAGAGATTTGAAATTACATTGGCTAAAAAGCCCTTTGAAATGAACAATGCGGGAGTTGTGTTTCTGCATAGAGCTCCATTGATCAAAGTGAAATTGTGGAAAGGAACAGTGAGTACAGAGGATGAATAAAGGGTTTTGAACATTAAACTGCAGATCAATATTACTGGATAGCTGCAAAATCATGATTCACGCAACATAAAGATTAGGTTTCATCATGAGTAATATGATAGATAGGAGAGATTATAGGGAAACGGTTCCATCTATAATCAGACATTGATTCTGGTGAAATGAATCATGGCAGCCCTGATTATAGGCACGAGGACACACATACTTGAGCGTTTGGAATGGAGTGGTCGCTGAGTCAAATCTGTAACACAAGAAATCGAAACAAAAATAATTCAATTTGGTACAATACACAAAATAATAAATAATGGAGGTGACATGAAAACAAAAAAAAACAATTCTCATTTAGGACTGCACAATGGATCACGATCGAGTTGAAAACACAATTTCAGTTGGTGCAAATGAGAAACTTGTACCTGTAGTTTAGACCTATAACATATTCTGAAATGCATGAGACTCTTGAATTATTCATATTGCAATCTTCTCTCAAATGTTTATTCTTCTGGAGTTGTTTACAATGATCACTTTGACCAGAATGCTACTTTTTAAACATTGTAAATCTTACTGCAGTCACAAAACAATTACATTCCCCCCAAAAAATCAATCAGCCCTATTCCCAAAACAGAAAATATGTATATTTTATGGCTACGTTTTATGCTAATACAATGTCCCAGCTTTGTTTGATTTGGGTTGTAAAACTTTTTCATAAAATGCACCAAAATCACATTGTCTTCTTTGTCTGTTTGCATAAGACAGATCTGGAGGTACACAGCTGTGATTGGAGAGATAGTATTCAGACCCCTGGTGCTCTATGATAAACAAAAGTTCAAAATGTTATTCAACATTTTTGGATTTTCTCAGAGCTGTGCAGGTGCAGAGGGATTTACAACACCAAGTAAAAAGTCATCAAAAGGATCCATTTCCCAGTCTATAAATCAAGTTTTAATGTGGCAGTTTAAGATAGTAAATATTAGCCAGTATCAGTTCATTCCTAGTTGTCCTTGCAGAGGTATGTGTGTTTTAAAGGAGTGTATGAAAGTTATTCTATCCCTCAAATGAATCCTCTTGTGGACAAAATGGAAGCCTTTACAACGGTTGTAAAGTTGCTCTTAGTACACGTTGCACACACAATTGGATAAGATTGATTCAACAAAGCCAGGAAGTCACAAGGATATCTCAACCCATCTCTGCCCCTACAACTGCAAAGTGAAGATCTACTATCTCGGATAAATCTAATAAGGAGAGAGAGAGGCTATTTTTAACGTCATACTAGACTAAAAATGAGAAAGTGACGTTCAGGGGAGTTAATACATCATTGGCAGAATCAAATGAAACAAACAAAAAATAATAATAATAGGAAATAACTTTGTAAATGTATCAAAAAGAGGCAGTAATTACAAAAGGATAGTTGTAGATAGAGAATTAAGCTGACTAACAAACAATAATTGGGTCTAATATTTGCTGATTTTCTGTATGATTTATTTTAAAGGGCCCATATTAAGCTGCTTTCTGATCTGTTATAATGCTGTTTCCTCATCACAAATATTCTTGTAGTTGTGTTTTGTTTCATTCATACATGTTTAACACACAAACCCTGCATCTTTAGGCTGAGTTTTTTTCTCAAACACTCTGTACCACCTTGTGATGTCATGTGGTAATACAGGAAGTGCTCCACTGTGTTTTAAACTTCATACACCTTCGCTAGAATCATTTGGATAATTTCAGCCCAAGAATTGCCAATCTTTACTGAACTCAAGGTTAAAAGTAGCTGTTAACCTGAAAACTACCATTACATGACATCACAAGGTGGAGCAGAGCATTTTGAGTTTTAGAGATGTAGACAGACTAAAAATAAAGGGTCACTCAAACGTATATGAATGAAAAAAAAAACAACACAACCCTTTTTTGATGAGATAACAACATTTAACAAGCTCAAAAGAGTTGATTTTGCACAATATCGGACCTTTAAGCTGCCCTCCGTGCCTCAATGCCCTCCTTCTGAAATTGTTACATAATCAAATTCAAGAACAACCTGTTATTAACTTGTACGACACAGGGCACAGTGAATTTTCTGAAACTGGCATTTGTTTCATTAACAGGCATTGTAATTAGTGAAAGACAGAAACTACAGGATGATAAAACCATGCATTTTCTAATAAACTAAATACAAAAATACAATCTAACATTTATATCACATCATTTTATCAGTCCGTCACCTCAATTGTCCATTTTGAATTTAACAGTATTACATTCCTCTATGCCTATGGCTATTACTTTTGCTCACCTGCTTTGTCTGTCTTCACGCACATATCTGCTGGAGTTGTCATGGTGACGAGATGAGAACCAGACAGACACTTCAACTTTTAACAAAAACAGGAGCTAGCACTATTCTTTTTAGCAGCTCTCGCTCTCTATCTCTCTCTCTTGTCAATGCCGTTCCAACATGTTTCACTATCTTGTATACCACTTTTACTATAGTTATGTGTATTTGAATGCATTTTCCATTGTTGCGCTAGATTCGTCAATTGAATTCTATTTCAAGTCTAAACAGGAAAGGCTACTAAATATTAAAGGTCCTATACTATGCAAAATTGACTCTTTCAGTCATGTTAGAATGTTGTTACCTCATAAGAAAAATATTCAGTTATGTTTTGTTTCTACTCTTTTTTATTAGTCTGACTACATCTCCAAAGCCCAAAATGCTCTGTTCTACCTTGTGATGTCATGAAATGGTAGTTTTCATGATAACAGCTACCTCTAACCTCAGGGAATGAAACAATAAAACAAAACAAAAATCGAGCTATGTTTTTCATGAGGAAACAACATTACAACATCAATCAAAAAATTATTTAATATGGCCAGCCTCATGTATTGTTAAGAGTCAATTTCAGACAAGTTAAGTGTTGTTAAAATGTCTACAGCAAAAATACCAGTAATAAATGCTAGAGTTTGTCGTTATAGGAATTGCCAGACGTTTTTTGTGAATTCAGGCTACTTTTTAGATCAACTTACATAACCAGTATGCAGCAACAGAAAATGTTTTGTCCAGTGTTATAACTCAGATTTTGAGCTTTAGCTTCACCTTACACAAAATGACTGCTCTTTCAGAAAATCCACTTTACACTTGAGAGAACCAAAGCCTAGTGTGGTGAACTCCTCAACCCCTCCTCTGACCCAAAAACCCATCAGTGTCTCAGAGGCATCAGCAGCACCTCTTTCCACAGGCCAGAGACAGTTACAAACATCTTTATCCACTCTGCTGCTTTTAACCAAGGTGTGTTCTGAACAGAGCTAGAAACTGAGCTGGAACACACAAAACACAATAATTCTTCCACCACACCATTACGCTAGTGTTAAGATGATACTATAATTTCAAGCTGAATTTTGATAAGGAAAAAGCCTGATTCATTACAAAAATATAGACAGTGATAGTAAACACTTATTTCTTTTTTTTTTTTTAAATACAGTAGTTATTTTAACACAAGGTGAAAGCACTTTCCCTAATATTATCATGTGACCTATTAATAATCCACGTTCTGGTATACCAAAGCGATTTGACCTATTTATGTTATTTTACTTTTTGGCTTTTTCAGTATTGATACATGTTCAAATGACCAATCCAATGTTGCATGAAAACCACTCAATTATATTAATCTGGTGAACAAAAATGACCCTAGAAAACAAGCTTTCTTAGTCAATTCATTCATTTTCTACACTGCCTTTGTGCTTTAGTTTGCACAATTTGACAAAGCCTGGGTCCATGGATTGTAATAAATGAGCTTATACTAAAGCCAACTCACATTAATAACGTATAAAGTAAGCAATCTTATAAAACTGATGAGAAATGAGACATGCTAGAGAAAGGTATGTATTCCACAGGACGGTCTCAACATCAGTGAACAATGTTTACAGAGATTAAAGCCAGACTGATGTGTCTGGCTCAGGTCGTCCCATGTGACCGGGCTGGGACAGAAGACGTGACTGATGGTGACAGGAAGAGAATGGTACTGTGGCTCTCCAAGGAAAAGATGGAGGTCTCACTGCTGCCAGCAAAACCACTCAGCTCAGAACTGTCAACATAAACTCATATTGTGGTATAGGGCTAGGCCTGTCATGATAACACATTTTAAAGTGCAATATATTGTGGAAGTAAATACAGATGATAAAAGTTAACATTGAAACCAAACCATAAAGCAGAACTATCAACAAAAAAGTATTCTAAATGTATGATCTTGTTAAAAATAGGAGCTGCAATAAAAAATTACAGAATACAATACTTAAGTAGTTAGTTTGTGTCTATAATAAGTCATAGAAGTTCATAATTCAACCTTGTGCAGCTCAAATCTCATCACAGTTTAGAAAAATAAAAAAAAATCTCCCCCAATACAAAGAAAAAGTCCCGACGATAAATACTGACCCCCAGAAATTATTGTTCCATCGGTCATGTATTGAAGGATATGTCAATATGTATCATGTCAGGCTTACACAGGGCATTGATTAACGTGCAATTAATAGATTTTGAATAATCATCAATGATATACTTGGGTATATTAAACAAGAGGTCACATGTGGTTGGGAGTGGAGTTCAGACAGACAGAAGAAGACATTTTACTATTTTTGTGGTAAATGGACATGATTATGTCTGTATGTTCAGGATATTAATATTCAAAGGATTTTGTAATTGCTTTAATAAGACAAAAATGTAACTGAATTGAAAAATGTGGTATGTTCAATATGAGAAAAAAAGGATTCCTGTTTTTGTCATTTCACCTGGTCCTGTGGCACATCTTACTGAGTTACACTCATATACTATAGTATCTCTGTTTTATTAAAATGCATAGAAAAAGCCAAAGGACACCATGTACAAACTTGCCAAACTGTGTTAGCTGTACAAAAAGCATTACAATCATAAAATGTATCTTTTGCTGCATTATGAATATTTTAAATGGAAGTTAACTCTGAAAATAAGGTAAAACAGCAATGTTGAGGCGTCTACTCTAATGAAAACACTTGAATTTCCACATGAACACGCTAATTACCTGTTGGCAGCCACCTCCTGAACTGACAAACCCCAGCACTGTCACATTAGCATTTAATAGATTTTAGCAGCGATGTTAAGTGCTAATTAGTTTTAAGAATAAAGACTACAGAAAAGGTACTTGTTTTAAATATTTTTGGACACACTTCATCAACCAAATACTGTATTACATTTCAGATTCTTAACCCTCAATGCAAATTCTTCTT